CAACAAAAGGATAAAAATGATATGATCACATGGAAAGGGCATTTACTAAAATTCATGATAAAAAAAATATCTGAAAAGAAAGTCTATATATCAACAAAGATGATTACTGACAAGCTCACAGCCAACATAATTTTGAGTGGAGAAAAGCTGATGTCACTCACTCTAGTGACTAGAACTAGACAATGTTTACTCCTACCATTGTTTTTTAGTAATTGTGAAACTTAACCACCCAGTTAGGCAAGAGAAAGAAATGAAAATCATACAAATAGGAAAGAGGGAAGTAAGACTGTTTCTGTTCGCTAATAACATGATTCCATTCACACACAAAAAGATCTAAAGATTCTATCAAAAAACCTATTAAATCTGATTAACAAGTTTAGCAAAATTGCAGATGAAAAACAACGTGTGAAAGTCAGCAGCATTTTTATATACCTGTAGAAAAAGAAATAATAGGGCCCGGTGTGATGGCCTAGTGGCTAAGGTCCTCGCCTTGCACGCCCAGGATCCCATATGGGCGCCAGTTCTATCCCGGCAGCCCCGCTTCCCATCCAGCTCCCTGCCTGTGGCCCGGGAAAGCAGTGGAGGATGGCCCAAGGCTTTGGGACCCTGCACCCATGTGGGATGCCCAGAAAAGGCTCCTGGCTTTCGGATGGGCATAGCATTGGCCGTTGCGCTCACTTGGGGAGTGAATCATCGGACGGAAGATCTTCCTCTCTGCCTCTCCTCTCTGTATATCTGACTTTCCAATAAAAAAAAATAATAAATAAATAATAAGAAAAAGAAATCATAAAAGCTATCCTGACAAAACAGCTACAAAAATAAGAAACTTAGGAACAAATTTAACCAATAATGTAAACAATTTCTACAATGAAAATTATAAAATATTAAAAAAACTCAAAGCAGACACAAACAAAATGGAAAGATGCTCTCTTGTTCAGGGATTGTAAGAATTTAGTATTCCTTAAATATGTAAAATTCCCAAAGCAATTTATGGGTTCAATGAAATTCCCATCAAAAGCAACTTAAAAATTCTTATAGAAGCACAACAGTCTCCTAATACTCTAAATAAAACAACACAAATAAAAAGCTGAAGACCTCACAACATCTTATTTGAAGATATACAATAAATAGAGCCCTAGCAAATACAACAGCATGTTACAGGTACAAAGCAGACGTGCAGACTGATGGAACCAATTAGGGAAATCAGAAACAAATAGGGGTACATGGAGCCAAATGAATTTTGCCAATGCCATCAAAAATACACACTGGAGAAAGGACAGTCTCTTTAATAAATGGCGCTGGGAAAACTGAATATCCATACTCACTGCAACTCTACCCCTCTCAGCCTATACTAAAATCAGCTCCAAATGGATTAAGGCTTAAATGTAAAACCTGCTACCATGAAATTATCATGAGAAAACTTTAATCAGTATGTAATTTTTTGAACATTCCTGAAGCACAGGCAACAAAAGAAAAACAAGAGAACTGACATTTGGACTAGTGGCTGAGATGCCTGCCTCCCATGCTGAAGTGCAAGAGTTCAATTCCTGACTTTGGCTCCTCATTCCAACTTCCTACCAATGTGTTGAGTCCCCATCACCTATCTGGGAAACGCAAATGAATTCCTGGCTCCTGTCTTCAGTCTGGCCCAGCCTTGGCTGCTGCAGCCTTTTAGGGAGTGAACCAGTGGCTGGATGCTCTTTGGCCTTTCAAATACAATAAAGATAAATACAAACTTAAAAAAAAAAAAGCTGGCAAGGGTGTGAAGAGGATGCTTAGACATTAGGCAAGAATGTAAATGCTCAGCCACTAGTACAGAGGTTCTTCAAACTACTATAAATAGATCAGTCACATGACCCAGCTTTTCCATTCTGGAGATCAATGACAAAATTAAATTTATAATTTTGTTTAACTTTAGAACAATTTTTTTATAGAAGGCATTTTTTAAAAAAATTTTAATTTTTATTGCAAAGGCAGATTCACAGAGAAAGAAACACAGAAAAATCTTTCATCTGCTGGTTCAATCCCTAAGTGGTGACAATGGCCAGAGCTGAGCCAGGAGCTTCTTCTGGGTCCCCATATGGGTGCAGAGTCCCAAGGCTTTGGGCTGTCCTCTACTGTTTTCCACGGCCAGAAGCAGAAGCTGGATGGGAAGTGGAGCAGACAGGATACAAACCAGCGCCCATATGGGATGCTGGCATTTGCAAGACAAGGATTTATCCACTAGGCTGTCATGACAGGCCATCAGATCAAATTACCAGGGAGGAGAGAAAGATCTTCCATTCACTGGTTCACTCCCCAAATGGCCACAAGGGCCACAGCTGAGCTGATTTGGTGCCAGAAGCTTCTTCTGGGTCTCCCTCATGGGTGCAGGGTCCCAAGGCTTTGGGCTGTCCTCTATTGCTTTCCCAGGCCACAAGCAGAGAGCTGGATGGGAAGTGGAGCAGCTGGGACAAAAACTGGCACCCATATGGAATACTGGTACTTGCAAGATGAGGATCTAACTAGCGATTCATTGCACTAGGCCCAGAACAATTTGTGGATATAACTGCGACTATTTTGATAGTTTGATCAAAGTGTGAAGCACTAAGGATCAATTAGGAAACGTCATTTGATTGATACTATAAAATGTATGATACACTTCTCATTTTTCTAATGAAATTAATGTTCTCATATCCTAAGATTCTTGCAAACCAGATATCAGTTTTGGAGATTTTAGAACCATTTGTTAACATAAGCAACCTCCTTACTTCCAAAGGACAGATCTCCTCCATAAAGAAAAACAATTACTATGTACCTAAAATGATTATTTCATAAAAATGAGAAAATAAGTTTTTCTCAAAGGGAAAAAAAGGACATCAGAATATGAAACTCTCACGTGTTTGCAACACTGTTCACAACAACCAAGTGACAGAATCAATCTGAATGTCTACAGATGGAATAATACATACACAAAATAAGGGACACACACCCACTGCAGACTTATTGTACCATGAAGGAGATCCTGGCAACAGCAAAGCCCATATTTTGGTGGTCATTACATTAAGTGAAACGAGTGAGACACAAAAAGACAAATCTCTTTGATATGTGGAAGTTAACAGTACAGTCAGTAAGAACTGAGAACAGTAGTTATCAGAGACTTGGAAGTGAAGGAGAAAGGGACCAGACCACAGTCAGAATAGGTGCCAGTGCTTCACAGTACAATGGGTCAACTACGAATCACAGCACATTATGTAGTACATAAAGAACTCAGGAGAGCAACTGGTAGGCAGTAAGTGCAGAGGGACCGTGGGGAGGCTGGCCTCATCAGTTTACACCATCCACATCTGTTGAAATATTGCACTGTTGAATTATTATTATATAAAACATTTTAAAAATTTTTAATAAGAAACATCGTAATATATATCAGGATATGTAGATAACACATCCCTAAAAATTAGAGGGAAGAAAAAGCCATGGTTCCTTCCCTTAGAAATTGTAAGTGAAATGGAGAAGACGAAGAAAACAGGAAACAGTAAGTGCTCTGACACGGTAAACACTGGGTACTCTCGGCACCCTGGAGGAGTAACAACCTCCATCGCAGGGTTACAGCTTCACTGATGACTCGGGATCTGCACTGAGCTGTAAGACCAGGCCACAGGAGGTGTGTCTGTTCAGATAGCAGTGGAAAGGCCCAAGGACGAGAGAAAATGTGGGCTAGAGAGCTAGTCAAGTGGGAAAGGTACAAAGGGCCTCATTTTGCAAGCTACACCATCAGCACTTCTTTGGGAAAGTGGCATAGTCCTGAGGGGTTTGAGTACTTAACCAGCTTACTCTGGCTGAATGACCGACTCAAAGAGCAGGTACATGGAGGTCAAAGAGAACCCCAGGATTTCTACTTGGATAGTCAGGCAGATTATGATGCCATTCTCTGATAGATCACAGGAGCCAAGAGCTGGGAAAAGACAAGGGATTGGTTACAGGGCATGCTGAGTTTTAACTGTCCGAGCTGGAGACACATAGAAGGAAGCTGGCATCCAGGAGGACAATTTGGGTTGAATATAAAGGTTTCAAAACCATCAACACAGCTGATGACTGAAGTTTTAATAGTGATCAGCCAGCAAAATAGTGAGTGGGAAGAGGGTCAAGAACTGGTCCCAGAATTACTAAGATCTAAGTCTGAGAGAGACAAAGTACAACTAAATGAGCAGAAAACAGCTGATAAGGAGGCCTGAGAACATAGCACAATAGGGCACTGTGACGAGGCATTATCCTGAACTAGCAACGAGGTTCTTGATTTTTACAGGTCAGTCCTTTAGTGACTGCATTCACGTCTTTACCCTACGTGGCTGTGAAATTGTTAGACACTTGCAGCTCTGAGGACATCACCTATTATCTGGATTTCAGCCAATCTTTTGAACCCCCATCGCTGCTCTCATAAACTTTCGGGATTTTGGCCTTTCTTGAGACCTTGGATTCTGGTGATTCCCTTCCGCCATATGGTACTGACATGGTTTTCTACCTAAATCTGTATCTCTATAAACACCTAATCCTGGGGCCAACACCCTGGTTCCACTTTCAGGACTGTATTTCTAGACTTCATCTCAGCATTGAAATTCTACCTGGAATAAGCAACTAGACCTCCTTGATAGGACCTGGGACTTAAGCCCCATGGCAAAGGTGATGGTCAGAAATGCAGACATGAGGCATCACAGGTGAGGCCTGAAACAGAAGAATCTCTCACAATCATCCAGGAAACAGAGCACAGACCGTACCAGGACACATATGGCCACCCCAGTAGCTAGGATGAGAATCACTAATGCCAAATATATTTCCAGTAAGTTGATGTACCCAGAACAGGATGATAAGACTATATCAAGCAATCCTGAAAAGCATGAAACATCACATTTCATTTTAGATTACCATAAAACCTAGCATGTATGTTTATAATTTCAAGAGGAATAGAAGAACTACACTTTTAAAATAATGCCTTGATTTTTTTTAAAAAGCACTGCACTTACCAACATGGATGTTATCTTTGAATGCCGCATCACGGAGCTGGAATATTAAATGGCGGCTAAACTTCTCTTCAGTGCTAGAGTCCAAGTTGAAAACATCTACAGCTGAGCAATTTATACCATATAAATCTTGAAGCTCTCTGCATACATGCTAAAAATAAAATGTAAATATTTTTTGTTTGAAATGTTTCTATGAACAAATTTTAAATATCGTGGGGCTAGTAAATTTAACCAATTAAAAATCATTAAAAAGTTTTGCTTATCAGAATATGTATGTTATCTATAAACAGAAAACCTGTCATTTAAAAATCATTGTACATTAAAAAAAAAATCACAGGCAAACAATCTGTACATTAACCTCCTCTAACATCACAATAAGAGTACTTCTTTTTAAGCATTCTGAGAAAAAAAGATTGATTCATTTTAGTGGAAAGGCAGATTTGCAGGGAGAAGGAACAACTAAGTTCTTCCATTCACTGGTTCACCCCATGAATGGTCATTATGGTCAAAGCTAAGCCAATTTGAAGCCAGGAGCTTCTTTTTATTATTATTTTTTTTTTTTTTATTTTACGATACAATTCCACAGTCTCTGGGATTTCCCTTACCCTCTCCCCAAGCTCCATGCGCTCCAAGTCAGGAGTTTCTTTCACGTTTCCCACACAGGTGCAGTGGCCCAAGGGCTTGGGGCATCTTTTATTTCTTTCCCTGGCCATAAGCAGGGATTCAGTTTGGAAGTGGAACAGGCAGGACATGAACCAGCACAAATATGGGATAATGGCACCTGCAGGGTGCAAGATTAACCTGTTGAGCCACGGCACCAACCCCATAAGCATGTCTTTAAATATCATCTCTGAATTTAAATTTACTTTTTTTTTTTTGTAATTCTAATTCTCCGAAAACCTCACTCATACTGAGCCCAAACCCACCTCCAAAACCTCCCTTGGGGGCCAGATGATGCTGCCACAGAACACAGTTATGCACTGCAGAGAAGCAGCAAGCATCTAGCTGGGAACACAAGATTTGGAGTCGGAGAGCTAGGCTTGATTTTTGGCTTTGACATTCACCACTGGTGTAATCAGTCAAACCCAGACCTTAACATTCAACTGTATTTAGCGGGTAATAATAACAGCACCTAACTTTTGCAATCATTTAAGAGAGTCTAACAAGAAAATGAGACTAAGGAGTTAGGATAGGGCCCACCAAAAAGGCCACAAAGTATTGGCCTGGCAGCCTTGAAGTTCTTTTCCCTAAGCCTCGGTGTTCTCCTTTGCAAAATGAGTCAGCAAAGACCTACCAGATAGGGTTATTTTGAGATCAGCAAAAGGTATAGAACTGTCAAGTACTTTAATACCCAATGATGTAATGAATTAGATTAACATTATCTGGCATCATTCCAGCATCACACACTTCCCCCATTCTTGACTCTTCTTCAGTAGATTCTTATTTTCTGAGAAGTTGCCTCAGCATCCCAATCTATATCAAACTTCCCCATGTATCTTAACTCACTGTGCTGTACTTACAAAGTTACAATTTTTATATTAACTTACTTATTTTGATATGTTCTGCATTATAGAGGTTATTCCTCAACACCTGTTTTCTCCCTCTTCTGTAGAAACAAATTCATAGGCCTGGTGTGATGAATTTGTGGGCCCAATGCAATGACTCGATTGGCTGATCACTCTTGCAAGAGCCAGGATGTCTCAGTAGGTGCTAGTTGGTGTCCCAGCAGCTCTACTTCCCATCTAGCTCTCTGCTTGTAGCCCAGGAAAGCAGCAGAGGACGGCCCAAAGTCTTTGGACTCTACATTCACATGGGAAACCCAGAAAAAGCTTCTGGCTCCCTGCTTCAGCTCAGCTCAGCTTCAGTCACTGCGGCCACTTGGGAAGTGAGCCAGCAGATGGAAGATTGTTCTCTATCTCCCCTTCTCTCTGTAAATCTTCCTTTCCAATAAAAACAAATAAATCTTATAAGCAAACAAAAAAAACCAAAATCCAAGTCTCAGCTGGAGGCCAGCTAGAATAAAGCTATCTCCCAGCCTCTGTTTACAAGGCATAACTATGTATCTTAAGTCTTGCCAGTGGGATAGCAGAAGGTAGGTATGCCACTTTAAACGGTACTGTTTAAAGGGAGGAGCATACACTGCCCTTTCTCCATTTGCTACTGGCCAGGATGCAAACAACTTGGCATGAGCCACCTCGGACAATATGAATGAGGCAACATCTTGGGAATAGCAAAGCAACAAGCCTAGTCCCTAACAATGGAGCCACACTGAATGTGATGTGAAACAGAAATAAGGTCTTGTTTAAGCTATTAAATCTATCTTAATTCATTATCATCCACTGGATTACAAATTTCATGAACTAAGAAACCGTGTCTCTTTGAGTTCACTCATATTACAAGGACAAGACACAGTGACTGACAGTTTGCTCTAGAACTAAAGAGAATAAATTTAGTTAACCTAGCCAATATAAGCACTCTATTCAATTTTCTCTCCAAATTAAACTTCAAAAATTTAAGTTCTTTAAACGCAGATGTATAACCATTGCGAAAAGAGTATGCGGTTCTTCAAAAAAACTAAACGAATAGCTACCATAGGATTCAAAGTCCCATTTTTGGGTGTATATTCCAGTGAAATGAAATACAACTGCCAGAGACATCTATCTGCAGACACCCATGTTTCTTGTAGCACAATTCACAACTGCCAGGTGTCCATCAGCAACTGAATAACGAAAACACAGTAGGCATAGTGGGCAATAACTCAGCCATTTACAAAAAAAAAAGGTAAATATTTTCAACCTGCATGGAACTTAAAGTCAACATGCTAAGTGAATTAAGCCAAGCACAGAACAATCATCACATGATCTCACTCATTTGTAGTCTTCTTTCAAAAGAACAGGTGCACCAAGGTAAAAACTTACAGTCATCAGAGGCTAGCATGAACATGCCAAGGGGGATGGGGAAGGCATGGTCTGTCGGTACTAGGCTACTGCTAGACAGGAGTAAGACATTCTGGAGTTCTACTGCACAGCAGGATAAAGGGAGATGTTACTTTATAATTCTCTAAGAAATTAGAAAGTGTACAACTCTTCTATGCTTTGAAAGGGTATACAAATTAAAAAATTATAAGAAAAATTTAAGTTGCTTAAATAATTAAGTCATAAAATTCAGAGGTTGAATATATTTGATTCCTCCAGCAATGTTATCTGGTGACAAGGTTTCATAAAATGAATTTGTACTGGAATCTGCCAAAATTCAGCCAATTAGAATAATCTGTAAGCAGAGTCACTGAATCAAAGGGTATTATATGTTATGTTATTACCAGTTATTCATTAACCACCTGTTGAATTAAGATAAGAATTAACTGAAGATGCCTTTTCATACAAACATGTAACAAAATAAATCATGACTGAATGGATTTGAACTGTAATACTGCAATAAGGTGGAGTAATCCACCATGGGGGGAGGATACGGGGAGGGGTTGGGGGAACCTCAGAGTCTATGAAACGATGTCATAAAATGAAATGCAATAAAAAAAATCACTTGCTGGATTATAAACTTGCTACATCAAAAAAAAAAAAAGAAAAAAGAAGCCAACTTCAATATTGTAATATAAATAAAGGCATTACACTAAGTAAAATATTCCTAATAACTGTTGTACCAACATGGTAAACAAGTTAAATAAAACATACTGTTAAATTTATGTTAAATAATTTTTTAACGTAAGTACATTTTTTTTCCAGCTTTTGCTGGTGCAGATCCGTTGTTTAGGACTAAGGCATTGTGAAGAATTTGGAAAAAAATGAAACACTTGCAGGATGTTTGATACAAGTGTTTACCTATGTTATAACAGTATCTGTGTCAGTATTACTATTATGGAAATTCTGAATATCTCATACAATATGCTACCTGTTTGTTGCTGGCATTCCCATAGTTAAGTACCAATGGAAATGTCTGAATCCTGAGTCCCTTCAGGACACAAAGAACCCACACAACAGATCCTCCTATGCACTGTAGAGGCATTGCACACACCAGGAACGAGTCAGTATTTATGGATTGAAAACATAATTAAAGTTAAATGTTCAAAACAAATTGCTAACTATCATGAAATACAGAATTTAAATTTATTTTTAAGGTTTCAATTATTTTAAGAAAAATGGCTTTTTTGGGTTTTGGAAGGGAAGAAGATTTTATGTCTATTTTGTTTACTTCAAAGATATTACAATCTATACATTGAAAAGTATTTGCTATGTCTTTCATATAAATGTAAAATCAAGCACGAAGAGACCCAACATAAAAGCAGATACACTTTAATTAGGGTAGATCTTAATAGAGAGAAAATGGCTTGACTACAAAATTATTATTCAGTTAACATTTAAAGCACAGGATAACTAATCGATAAATGCTAAGATCCAATCTGAGTGCAAATAACAGCCAATACATTTTTAATTATACTTCATGGAATATAATCTTTAAAAAAAATTAACAACATTGATAGGACTTTTGTGTTCAAATTCATATCATTCCACTTTTTAGAAACTGTTTGCCATGACTAAATTAAAATACTAGAGCTACATTCTTTTTTTTTCTCCATTGAAAATAGTGCCAACAGTGTTATCAGATAAGGTTCTGGAATTAACCTTGAGCTTAGATTTCCTATTTCTTGAGTTACATGAAAAAATTGCTTTGCCAATTCAAGCATTCTGATACTATTTTCCATTAAACTCATATCAGTGCCCAATTTTTATATGAAAATTACTTGACCTGGTCTTTACCAGTATTGGCTCTTTTATAATGGAGGTCAGAGAATTAACACATAATTGCAAACCATAGAAAATTCCAGTTTGTGTCTTTTTCGAAGCTTTTTAAAATCAAGTATAGTAACACTACAAAATATATGGACATAAACTGGACCTTGCTTCCTTCTCATAGTTCACTCATAGAAGATATATTAAAAATTGGAAATCCCAAGGAAAAGTAAAAAGAAAAGGGATGACAAACATGGAACCTACAGGATACACGGGCAGGATTCACTGAGTAACTGAAGAGATCAATGGAAAAAAAACAAAAGAATCTACCTCAATCAGTAACGTGACCATCTTTTTCCCATCAGCTCCTGGATTGGCAGGCTTGTTAAATTCTAAATCAAAATAAAGCTTGCACACAGCATTTTCAGGAATCACTTCGTAGCAGTGCAAGAGATTTTTCCTAAATTGAGTAATACAAAAGTATTTATTGTATCGCTTTAAAATATGGCAGTTGACCTGATATTTCAAGTACTGTGCTAAGTACGTTTAAGTACAGGTAAGTAGGAAGTCATGACAAGACCAGGTAAGCCTGGTTACAGTGTCCAGAGCGCCACCAAACACGCTGTAACAATCACACTCAGTAGTATAACTGGAAAATAATCCTATAGTGTGATTCATTACACAGGTGAATTTCATCTTACATAATACTCTTGTATTGGGCTTTGGTGTCAATAGTAAATACATTTTCAGAAAAGAATGTTCTTTCTCAAACTGGGGATACTTTGGGGATCCCATGAATTCTCCATAAGAATTTGTAAAATTTTATACTATCACTAGGAAGAAAGTACTTTTTAGTGGTAAAAAAAATAAACTTCTAAAACATCTAACTTCAATAAACTTTCCAACTGCTTACATTTCCAGTAATTTTCTTCCTGCTGTGCAGAGGAATGACTTTTACACAGATTACCTAGTAAGTCAATGAGAGGTGGGCTAAATGAAGTTCAGGCAGCCTCCTTCACAAAAAAAAAAAAGGTTTGATAATTTGGACAGAAAGTGAAGGGGAGATCGTGTCATCACGTGGCACAGGCAGGACTGGATCTCAAAACACACGCCCCCACACTCTGCAGCGGTATAATCTGTATTGCAAAGTGAGATTTAGTCTGAGCCACATAGCATCTATTCAGGTCTTCCTACTCTAATTCAGCTCCATGTGCGATGGATGGAAGTACCATAACTAAATCCACACGGTGTTGCATGCTTACAAAGATGGAGACACTGCAGCAACAGTGCAAGTACTTCTAAGCCTAGAGGGCATGCCTATCGACCCTTCTCTTACATTCCTCAAGTCTGAAAAATAGTTGGATGGGTCACTCAAAGCAGATACTTAGTATTAACAATATGAGTATTCACTTATGATTAATAGTTATTAATATTTGGTTCAAAAAGTATTTCCTTTAGATACACAAATTGGTGTTTGCATGATTTTCTTCTCCCAAGGCCAGTGAGATGATGAGTGTTGTCATGAGAAATAAACTTCAGAAATTCATTCTAACAGGAAAGGAATAACAAATGCTGTGGCCAAAAAACTGAAAGCTAATTCAGCCTGAATTAATTTCACCAAAATTACTATGAAGGAAATGTAATTTAAGTGTTTTGTTATGACTTACCGAGATTTGTAGTAAAACCAGAGCTGAAAATAGGTTGTGACAAGATAAATACGCTGTCCATCTCCTGTTTTGTACTCCAAAGCAAATACATGAACATCCTGTATAAAATTTAAAAATCCAAAATGAATAAAAAAGCACAAATCTAAATTCAACCGTAGCTATTTAATTTTCAGAATCTGATTTTAACATTTGCTTCATTAAAAGCAAGACTGAAAAGAATAGGGCGCCCTGGAACAATAGCCTAGTGGCTAAAGTCCTTGCCTTGCATGTACTGGGATACAGCATGGGTGCCAGTTCATGTCCCAACTGCTTCACTTTGCATCCAGCTCCCTACTTGTGGCCTGGGAAAGCAGATGACCCAAAGCCTTGGGACCTTGCATCCATGTGGAGGACCCAGAAGAGACTCCTGCTCCTGGCTTTGGATCAGATTGGCTCAGCTTTGGCCATCGTGGCCACTTGGGGATGAACCAGTGCACAGATCTTTCTCTCAATCTCTCCTTCTCTGCAAATCTGACTCTCAACAGCAACAACAAAAACAAAACAAGAAAAAAGACAACAGAGGCTGGTGCAAGGGCATAGTAAGCTAATCCTCCTCTTGTGGTGCTGGTTCATGTCCCAGCTGCTCTACTTCCAATCCAGCACCAAGTTTATAGCCTGGGAAAGCAGTAGATGATGATTCAAGTCCTTGGATCCCTGTACCCACATGGGAGGTCAGAAGTTTCTGGTTCTTGGTTTTGGATTGGCTTATTTCAACTCATCATGGCCATTTGGGAAGCTAATCAGCAAATGGAAGATCTCTCTCTCTCCTTCTCTTTGTAACTCTCCCTTTCAAAGAAAAATCAAAGCTTAGATGTAATCTCTAACCTGGGGTTTAGGGAGAAGACAGGAATTAAAGACAAACAGTCATTAGATATACGTCATTCAAAATTTAAATATTTGTGTTTCTTTTTAATCATTCATATAATACACAGCAAAGTGGAAACAATGAAAATATCCATGTTAAAATGAAAATCAGTTTAATTCCATTATGCTGATTTGACTTTCTGTAAGAGTTTTATTTTTTAGTTTACATCAATTCAAACACAGAGTAATGAAAGTGGAGAGGAAGCGAAAGAGAAGTGGGGAAGAGAGAAGGTGGGGTGAGAGATGGGATAGAGCAATAAAGAGGGGAAGCAGCAGTAACAAAGCAAAAGGGGAGAGAGAAGGTGGAGAGAGCTTGGGGGTGGGGAAGAGCCTCCATCCACTGGTTCACTTTCCAAATGATCACAACAGCCAGGGTTGGGCAAGGCCTAAGCCAGGAGCCTGGACCCCTTCCGAGACTCCCACATGGGTGCAGGGGCCCAGGCACTTGGGTTGCCCTCTCCTGCTCTTCTCAAGTGCATTAGCAGGGAGCTGGATCAGAAGTGGAGTAGCCTGGACTCAAACCAGTGCTGATAGAGGCTGCACCACAGAGAGCTGTTTAATTTTTTTAAGATTTATTGTTTAATTGAAAGGTAGAGCTACAGAATAAAGAGGAAAAAAGGAGAATCTTCCATCTTCTAGATCACTTCCCAAATGGCTGCAACGGTCAGGGCTGGACCAGGCTGAAGCCAGAAGCATGGAGCTTGCCCTCGATCTCCCACATAGGTGCAGGGGCACAAGCACTCGCACCTTCCTCAGGTGCAGTAGCAGGGACTCAAACCTGCATTCATATGGGATATCAATGTCACAGGTAGAGGCTTAGTGTGCTATGCTACAATATCACTCAACCCTCAACTCTGGTATATCTGTTTACTAGAAAAAGCTCTTCATGGCAGAAGTCATGAATGGTTATATTTAAACCAGTTTTGCAGTAAATAACCCTTAAAAATGGATTCCTACATATATCCAAATGTACTAGAGATTTGTTATTAACTGTAGCCCCAACACTTTATAATATTCAGATTGTTTTTGGAAAATACTGGGGCTGGCACAATGGCTCAACAGGCTAATTCTCCACCTCCAAGCACCAGCATCCCAAATGGGCACCAGCTTGTGTCTCAGCTGCTCCATATCAATCCTGTTTTCTCCTAGTGCCTGGGGAAAGGAACAAAACATAGGCCAAAGCCTTGGGACCCTGTAACCTGTGGGAAACATCGATCCTGGATCCTGGCTTTGGATTCGCTGGGCTCTGACTGTTGCAGCCATTTGGGGAGTGAACCAGTGCACGGAGGATCTCTCTTTCTCCTCTCTATAAATCTGCCTTTCCAAGAAAAATGTGTGAATCTTAACAGAAAGAAGCTGAAGATTGTTTTTTCTAGATTTATTTCAATGGCAGATTTAGACACACACACAGAGGTGCCTTCTATCTGCTGTTCACATCCCAAATGGCCACAAAGGCTGAAGCTGGGCAGCAGCCAAAGTGAGGAGCTGCTTCTGGGTTTCCCCTGGGCCACTCTCCCCTGCTCCCCCAGCTCATTAGCAGATACAGAGCAATCAAGACTCGAGCCACAGCCCACATGGGATACTTGCAGGTTCACGTGTGGGAAATCAAAAGAGGACTGAGCTTCCTGATCTTGAAATCAATTCGACAGACTAGAGACTGGTGAGTCCAGCAAGCATCACCGCTATGCCTTTTTCAAAACCCAACACTAAGAACCTGTCATTAATTTAATTTCTGATGCCTGAATGGGTTATACCAAGTAAGAATGGTTTTCATTATTTTCCCTAAACTATGGGGATGAGATATGAGGAAAGTAGCATTCTTCCCGTAAGACTTAACAGCAGTTGAAGCTTATAGTATCAGCATCAAGAGTATGTATTATACATGCATTTATTTTCCTTACAGTACCCAACAAAGGCTGTGCAGTATAGATTTATACTGCTTGATTTGATGACTTTTTTGAACATCCATGTTATCTGTAGGGGTGGCATGTACAATAGTTCCTCCCCTCTACTTAAATATATAGACAGTCTCTCTTCCTTCAGGATACCATGACTGAGATGTCACTGCTAATTCTCTAAACTAATAGGAAAATACACATCATTCTTGCTCATTACCAAAATAAGTTAAATGGCTGATAATTCTTATGGATATTTTTCCAAAATCATGTGATATTGTTGCCATCGGTAGAGTGCATAGCCTGAAACAGAAATGATTGAAAAAAAATTTTTATAAAAATGATATGGTAATTACCTGTTTACAAGTTTTAGCGAAATTAAAAGCTTGCCTTTGACGATGAAATAGTTTCCAAATGGAGGGTGGTTCTTCCAGTTTGGACAATCTTGGCCTATACACGGAGCACAGTGGTTTTGCCTGGTAATAAGATGCTCGCTCTTCGATCTGCTTCAGCTTTTCTTCCCATTTTCTACTCATTAGTTCAGAAGTCCAAGATGATTCCTATTCCATGTAATCTATTGATTAGAACAAGAAAAATTTCTATACTTAGACTTTTGTCTTGTTTGATAAAATTTCCAAACTCTTTTCCTGGCACTTACCTTCTTTATATCTTATTCTTTGCATGGAGTTTTGCAAAGCAGAAGAGTAGGCTGGTCATAAGTTCTGCTTCCAGGGCAGCCAAAGCCTGCCAGGCTCAGGTGCCCTAGCTTGCACCTCCATGCTCCTGGTTTTCATTTTTTATTTACCCACGTAGGGGGAGAATTCTACATAAGCTTACACCCATCAGTATTTTGTGCTTTCTGGTCATATGCAAGTTCTAGTGTTTTTAAAATTTCTGATACTTGAAAGTGTTTTCTTCTTATGACTTAACACTATTTCTCCTTCTAACATATTCATAAAAAGCATGTAACACTGTGACACTGGCATCCCACATGAGTGCCAGTCTGACTCCTGGCTGCTCCTTGTCCTAACCAGTTCCGTGCTAATGTGCCTAGGACAGCAGCAGCAGAGGCCCCAGGTGCTTGGACCCCCTGCCATCCCCATGGGATCCTCTGCTGGAGCTCCAGTGCTAGCACCAGCCTGGCCCAGCCCTAGCTCTAGCAGCCATTTGGAGAGTGAACTAGCTAATGGAAGATGGTTACCTCTGCTCCTCTTTGATTCTGCCTTTCAAATAGATTAAATATTTCGAGTATAGGATCAAGTCCCAGCTACCTGGCTTCCTCTCCAACTCCCTAATGCCCCTGGGTGGACTGCAGGCAATGGCTCTTGTATTTAAGCTCTTGCTTAAGTACTTAAGTCTCTTGCCTGGCCCAGCCCTGGCCATTAAGGCTATTTGAAAGGTGAACCCATAGATTATGAACTCTATCATTCTGAATTTATATAAATAAATACCGTTAAAATTAATTTGCATAATGAATTTATGGTCATTGTAATTTTATGCTTACTTCTGGATGAAATACATTTAAATTTCCCAAGAACCTGTTGCAAGGGATCAGAAAGCAAACAGGGCTATGTTCTTATCTAATTACTCCCTCTGCACAGGAACCATTATCCAAACACCACAAAATACCCAATGACTCATCCTTAAAACCACTGTCCTGAGGCCAGTGCTGTGTCAAACTAGCTTAAGCTACCACATGCGGTGCTTGTATCCCATGTGGGCACAAGTTTGAGTTCCAGCTGCTGCACTTCCACCCCAGCTCCCTGCTATTGGGCCTGGGAAGGCAGTGGAAGAAGACCCAAGCACTTAGGAGACCTGGAAGAGGTTACTGGCTTCTAATCAGCCTAGCCCCGGCCACTGTGCCCAGCTGGGAGGTGAAATAACGGATGGAGGAGGTCTCTCCTTTTCTCTCAAATAAAAACAAATCTAGAGGGGGAAAAATATCACTGAACAATGCTCTCATAGGTAGCCTCGTAAATGATGTATAGCATCCCTTGGTTCCCACCAGAGTTTACCCTGTGAGGACTAAACTCCCCTCCAGCAACGTGCCCTACATCACCTCTCATCTCTTCTTGTTCAGTCTTCTAGCCAACTGAATGACAGCCACCCGCCCGTGTTCCTGGACCATTCTAGAAGCCTTGCTGCACCCATTGCTCCCACCCGCAAGGCCCCACGTACATCTTTGCACTCTGCTCCTTCGAGGTCCTGAACAAGCTGCCTCATCTGCTAAGAGAAAGTACTGAGTGCCTCCAGCCGGTTTCCCGAAAAAGCTCCCCAGGCCAAATAAATTAACTTCCAGGAAAACAGGAAACCGCTGTGGCTGGTGGACCCGAAGCTTCATTCCGCTAGTAAAGCTGAGTCAGGAGCCCGAACGTGTAAGGACTTATTTTAACCACACCTGTCACCACGTCGCGCATCACCTGCCTAACCCCCGTTTCCCTCCATTCGGGAAAGTGAAAGGTCACTCGGGAAAGTGAAAGGTCACAGCTTCTCTTCGGGAATCTGGCCCTCAAGTCCAAGGAAATTATTTAACCTTTTTAAGCCCAGGTGCGCCCTGGGATTCTGAGAGGGCTAGCAGAAAGGGTACAAGAAAAAACTGAAATGGCCGCCACCTGTTTGCGCCGCGCACACTGTCCCAGACCTTACTCCCCGACGAGAGCCACAGGAATGCTGAAATCCTACGCAGAATTTGCGCTCAGGTAGGTGGGCTGAATTTTCCGGGAAAACGCTCCATGCAAATCTAAAAAGGCGCCCAGGGCCAGAAGAGGGAGAGCACCGGAAAGGCAATCACGGCTTTGGGTCTGAGGGGAAACGACAACCAAAGGGTCCTCAGGGGGAAGCAGAGATTACCAGCGCGGCTCCCGGACCTCAGACAGGGCTGCTTTCTCCGGTTAGTCTCCGGGCCAGGCGCTGCCCACGGGCTTCCTTCGGCGGCCCTCTGAGGCCCGTAAACGCGGGCGGAAGCCCGTCCAGCCTCAGCTGCAAACGCCGGATCCCGACTTCAAAGCCGGCGCCAGGGGCGGGACTACGGCGCCGGGCGGGGCGGGACGTCCGCGTTAACCCACGCGAGCCAGGCCAGGGGGCGGGACCACCGGAGGGGCGGGGCCGCGAGAGGAGGGGCGGGACTGCGGCGCCGGCAGGGGCGGGACGTCCGCAATACCCGTGGCTAACCAAGCCAGGGGGCGGGGCCTCGGGAGGAGGGCGGGGCCGCGGGAGGAGGGGCGGGACTGCGGCGCCGGCAGGGGCGGGACGTCCGCAAAACCCGTGGCTAACCAAGCCAGGGGGCGGGGCCGCGGAAGGAGGGCGGGGCCACTGGAGGGGCGGGGCCGCGGCCGAGGTACCTCTGGCTGCTGCGGTAGACGGAAGCAGTGCACCCTTGGAGCCTGGCAGGTGTTTGTCCTTGGGCGGTAAGTGCATCCCTCCCGGCCCTCCCCGCGGCGCCCCGAGCCCCGAGCCCACTCCGGCCGCTCTTCCCACGCCCAGCGCCTGCCTCGGGGCAGCGGCTTGTGCTGCAGCTGCTGCTAGAAGGCGGAGGGAGTGGGCAGGATCTGGCAGGCAGATCCTTTGTTTTACAGGGCTAGCATTGGGCGGGCGGGGAGCCGAGACCCAGAGAGGAGAGGTATGGCGGGAGACGTGGAGCCGGGCTTTGCACAGAAATCCCTGTTGGCTGGAGGCCCGGGTTAAGGCTGAGGATGGAACCAGGCAGCCGGGTGAGGGGTCGTGAGAGCCCGATCCCGGCTCAGGAGGACGGTACTGGACGGCGGGTGGCCTGGTCCCGGGTTGGGGACCCAGCAGGGGACTGGAGGGCGACAGGATGCCGGTGAAGGACGGCGCCCAGGACAGCAGGCCGAGAAGCGGACCGCCAAGGAGGGAGGTGTGGCACAGGGAGAGAGCGCCCCGAGGGCGAGAGCCCGAGAGACGTGGCCCTGGGGTAGAACCTCCCCGGCCTGACCTCGTCGGGAGCGGGGGGGCCTGGCCGTGATGGGAGAGACCTGGCCGACCTGAACCCCCTGACTCCGCAGCCCTGGCGGAAGGCGCTGCAGGGGCTGCAGTGAAATCCCCTCGGCCATGCTCAAGCCGACCATGCTGTGATCTTTGTTTTCAGAGGTCCCGCCCTCAGCCTCGCAAGAACCAGCGCCCTTCGCCCCCTCTCTCCCACCCACCACACCTCTTTCCCGAACGGTCACTAAGCCTCGCCAGCCTCCTACATGTCTGCCATATGTTTCTGGTTCTCTCCTCCGAGACTAGCCGCCCTCCAGTCTCTCTCCAGGGCCTCCGGCCCCTCTTCAAATCCCTTCTTACAGCAGGAAAACCGAGAAAGCTGTCCTCTTGCGTTTAGCAGAGCCGTAGCCCTTAACCAGCCACCACCTCTCCCGGACCTACATTTTACCTGGTATCTTCACTTTCTCTACCGCCACACTGACCTTCATACCAACTGAGAATACTGTTGTATTCTCTCTGTCCCAAGCACATCTGCCGATGGCTGGGAACCCTACTTCTGTTATGTTTCTCAGCTCCAAGGAAAGCTTCCTAATCCATGTGTCACATCTGGCGCTTCCTAACAGGGATGTGTCATGCCCTTCGGTGTGTGTTTGCTCTTCCCTATTTTTAGATCCTGAGCAAACTGAGGGCTATGATTGATCATGGTCTTCCTTATTGTCATTCAGTGTACTCAAAGCCTGGCAGGAGTGAATGCTAGCCCCTCCACGGGTGTTCTCGCAGCAGCACTGTTTTTTTTTTTTTAACATATATTTTATTTTGAATTATGTGGTACAGTTTCATATAGGCTGGAATTTCCCCAAAACTCCCACCCCCGACAGATTTTCCCCATTTTACTACAATGGTGTAATCCTCCATAAGGAATTGTAATTCTGTCAGTCTCTTATTTGTGCACCCCAACATTGTTGGTACAGATGATGTCAGACAGTCCAGCATCCCACTGTCTACACATGTCCAACGGTTTCATTGGGAGTCCATCTTTCATCTGGGAGCAGGGATACATGTTACGTTATAACACCATGTCTGTGTATAATAGACCCCAGTACTCCATCACCATAGATTTCCATAATTGAGAAGCCATATGGTTCTTGAATAATTTGGCCATATTTAGGAAAAGTAAATGTTTTAGGATTGCTTAATGAATGGTGATTACAACCTGTGGGTTAGCAAACACTGTAGAAGTGAAGGGAGGAGTCCTAGACAGTGGGAGGAGATGCTAAGACAGCCTGTGGCAAGCTGATTACATCATCTCACAGTGAAGTTAAAGCTTAAACCATCCCTCCCAGCCTGACTTGTGGGCTTGGGCTTGGCTTTCCTCTTCTGCAGAAAACCGCTTCTGAAAGCGAGAATGATTTTTATTTTTACTTAATGAACGGCCTCAGTGTCTTGTAGTGCAGCACTTAAAGCTGGCCAAAGTAAAAGAAATGAAACTGTACCTGGTTAGATCAGATTCGTATTTGCTATCCTGGACAAAAGGCCTTGCCTCTGATTGTCTAAAGAGACCGGCATCTAACCTGATATAGGCAATTATAATGCTGCTTTATTGTTTTACACTCAAATCTAACTTCACACAGTATCCTATTGCTTCATCCCGCCTTGAAAGTTAGAAAGCGCTCTTTATATTCACTTGAGTGGCATGATATTAATCCTGGTATTTAGCATGAGGTGGTTCTTTAAGCTCTGTCCCAAAGATAGGAAGCACTGGCATTCAGCCTTTTAAAAAATTAGAATTCTTAACTTCTTAAATATGGTTTATATCTTTTTTTTTCTTTTTGAAACAGACATGAGTACATGAGAGGGAAAATGCTACTGTGTTGTCAGTCTATACCAGGTTCCAAAGGCACTGCTTCCTAGCCTGTCCATAAGTGAGGTGAAGTCTTTGTACTTTACAAGGTTGTGAAGATCAGATAACTTCTGGGATAACTGATTTTTAAACATCAAGATGGTTGTTTCTCTACCTGTTATGTTCTTGCCTCCAGCATTCCCCGTAGACCTTTACTTTAGGGTAAAGGGAAATGAGACTGAGATGCTCTTGGCAGGGTCTAGTACCTGCCATCTAGGCTACTCATTAATACAAACATTAGAAACCCTGTGTGGGGTTGGGGCCTTTGTCTCACCCACTGCCACAGGATAGCCAGTGTTCTGTCCGCAGTGTTCAGGAAATCACTAGGGTGCAGGTGTCAAATGAACAAATGCTACTAACTTTTTGCAGTTTCAGACCTTCTCTGGCAGGCAGAGCGTCTTAAATCAAGTGAATTTTAACCTGAGTGAGTTGACAAAGCAGTGAGTGGGGAGGCATTGTAGGTTGTCAGGAATTTTTGTAAAAGGTATCCACAATTCTATATACATTTCTTACAAAATATCTAGAACTTACAAGGGCTTCCCATTTCCTCCTTTTAGTAAACTAGTTTGAGAGAAGACAGACCTGTTGCACATTGTAAGTACTATGTTCTCCCTGACTTGAGCCACGAAAAAACAGGCATTGCTTAGCGGGGAATACTCCAGGAAGCTTCCTGGTTGGGGGGCCCAGGCTAGAGAAAAGGTCTTTGTTGATTTGATGTTGCTGAATTCAGCTGCACCTGTGTTTAATTTTTACTTTTCCATTTGCATGTCTTGCCTGAATAACATAGTAAATATCAAGAGATTGACTTCCTCATGCTGAATGAGGGTCACTAGTTTAGCAATTTTAATACACTCCCAGTCAATTTCAGAGACCAGATGGAACAAGATTTCCATAAAACCTCAGGTATGTGAGCTTGACACAATAGTCTATTGGCTAAATCCTCGCCTTGCATGCACTGGGATTCCATGTGAGCGCTGGTTTATGTCGCAGTGGCCCCGCTTCCCATCCCGCTCCCTACTTGTGGCCTGAGAAAGCAGTCGAGGATGGCCTAAAGCCTTGGGATCCTACACCTGAATGGGAGACCCAGAAGCTGCTCCTGGCTCCTGGCTTTGGATGAGATCAGCCCTGGCAGTTGTGGCCAGTTGGGGAGTAAACCAGTAGACAGAAAATCTTTCTGTCTGTCCTTCTCTCTGTAAATCTGACTTTCCAATAAAAATAAAATAGATTTTTAAAATTAAAAAAAAAAAACACCCCTAACCCTCAGGTATGAGCTGAATTTTTCTTATGCAAACTATTTTAAAACAAATGTTCTTTCTGTTTCACTTACTGAATCTAGAAATGTGGCTGCTTTTGAGATGACTCTTTTTTTTTTTTTTAAAGATTTATTATTTATCGGAAAGTCAGATATCAGAGAGGAGAGGCAGAGAGGAAGATCTTCCATCCGATGATTCACTCCCCAAGTGACCGCAATGGCCGATGCTATGCCGATCTGAAGCCAGGATCCAGGAATTTCTTCCGGGCATCCCACACGGGTGCAGGGTCCCAAGGCTTTGGGCCATCCTTGGCTGCTTTCCCAGGCCACAAGCAGGGAGCTGGATGAGAAGTGGAACTGCCGGGATTAGAACCGGTGCCCATATGGGATCCCGATGCGTTCAAGGCAAGGACTTTAGCCGCTAGGCCATGCCGCTGGGCCCCAAGATGGCTCTTTCTAATGGGTAATAAATATATTCCTGATATTTTTCACATTTTTTGCCAGAAGCCATAATGGGTAGGCATCATCTTTGGTTTTTTTGTTTTGTTTTGTTTTGTTTTTTCTATTGGAAAGTTGCATATACAGAGAGGGGGAGAGACTGAGAGGAAGATCTTCTGTGTACTGGTTCACTCCCCAAGCGGCTATAACAGCTGGAGCTGCGCTGATCAGAAACCAGGAGACCAGAGCCTCTTCCGGGTCTCCCACACGGGTGCAGAGTCCCAAGGCTGTAGGCTGTCCTCAACTGCTTTCCCAGGCTACAAGCAGGGAGCTTGATGGAAAGCCGGGCTGCTGGGATTAGAACCAGTACCCATATGGGATCCCAGCGTGTTCAAGGCGAGGACTTTGGCCACTGGGCTACCACAC